TCTATAAAAGTATCTAGTTCTACAGTTATTTATTAAGATTGGCCTCATTCGGCTTACCTTATATTCTGGCTTATTCGGTTTTTTTTTTAGCCGGAACAGTGTTTTTCTCTCACAACAATTCAGCCGGAACAGTGTTTTCAACCAATTTCAGCCAAGCGAACGGGGCCAATATCATTTAAAAATTAGATCGGTGTGTGTGTGTTTATAAGAAAAGAAAAGGGCAATTACTAAATATAAAAGGCAGCCGCTTGCCTGCTTCACCTTTTACCTAGTGCTGCATGTTGTGCGTCCTCGATCGCTACTGTTTCACGGGCCAAAGGACACGGTCGTATCTGTCTTCCAATCGAGTGTTGGCTTACCTAACAGCTCCACTTGAGCTGCAGCATTGGCTACGTTCAGGGCGTGCTGTCAGATTTACAGGCCCTGTTCGAAGCTCTAAGTGAGGCCTGAATCAAAGTTCTAAATATAACCAAAATAATGTATATAATGTAGAGCAAATGTGATATATCAAGAATAGTACCTTTTGAACTAATCTTTACTTGAATAACATCATTCTCTTAGGCCCCGTTCGTTTCGCTGAAAAAACAAGCCGAAACACTGTTCTGGCTAATTTGTTGTGAGAGAAAAACACTATTCCGGTTGAAAAAACAAGCTGAAAAAGACGGATTATAAGAGAAGCAAACAAGGCCTAAGTGTTCTTTGAAATAAAATCTTCAATAATATGCTCATAGTTAATCTTCTCGAGCAATCCACTCTTAAGTGCTATCATAGCCAAACTATTAAGTCTTTCTTGTGTCATTGTAGAACGCAAGTATGACTTCAATAGCTTCAACTTAGAAAAGCTCCGCTCCGCTGAAGCAACGGTCATAGGAATGGTCAATAAAATTCTATATGCAATAGTTGCATTGGGAAAACAATCATGCCGCTTTAGAAACTTAAGGATTTCAAGTGGACCCATATTTTCTCTTGGAATGAAATCCTGAAGAAATCTCAACTCTGTATATAGTTCATTAGCATCAATATCAGATTTCCCATCTCTTTTGCACCCCTTGATGTTTTTCTTTCATATTTGACCCATTGTCATAACCTTGGCCTCTCACATCATCAATATCAAGATCAAGACACTTTAGTTCATTCTCTAGCACATCAAAAAGTCCTTGTCCGGTTGTATCATTTACATCTAAAAATCTTAGAAAGGATTCTTCTATGGAAATATTATCTGAAGATGAATCCACATATCTTATAATTAAAAACATTTGTTCTTGGTAGCTTGCATCAGGGGTACAATCAAGTATGACACAGAAATACTGCTCTCTTTATTTTCCTTACAATTTCAGACTTAATAGCAGAAGCAAGCAAGTTGATCAACTCATTCTGAATCTTTGGATCAAGATAATGAAGTAGAGTTTCTTCACTTGTAATACAACGAACATAATCTTGGATAACTGGGTCAAATTCAGCCAACATCTCTATCAAACCTAAGAAATTTTCGTTGCTATCTTCATATAGTTTGCTGTTAGTACCACGAAATGCTAGACTGTGCTTGGCAAGAAATTTAACAATGCAAACAATTCTGAATAATACTTTTCTTCAGTGGTCTTTTTCTTTCTCAAGTTATCGCTCATGCTCTTTAAGCCTACTACCGAGATGTATCAATCATTATACCCCTTAGTTGCCAATTGACCCTTTCTATGCCATTTTGTAAATAATTTACAACTGAAGCAAAATACTCTATCGAGTTCCTTAGAATAGACAAGCCAATCTCTATCAGAATGCTCTCCATTTGATAGAATTTTAGTATAGAATAGTGCAGAAAATCTTCTAAAATATTTATCCTTGAGACCTTTCTGAATTGACAAGTCTCTTCAAGGACCCTTTTGCGCTAAAATATCTATATGTTTAGGATTAAGTGAATCCTAATATCTTGGATCAAATATATCAGGCTGAAAAGAATCACCAATATTCTCACTGTTATCACCATCATTATCTGTTTCAACATTTATGTTATTAATAGGAACTTCCTGAACCTCAGCATTATTTTTTGTTCCTGTCAGACCATCTCTAAGATCATTTTCAATATTACTATCAAGTGCAGGACCTTGATCAACTGCCTCATTACCGGAAAGCACGTTTGATTCTTTTATAATAAATCTATCCAGTGCTCCTTCCTGAGACTGAGTTAACTCCTCAATTCTTTGTTTCTTCCTACGCTTTTGGTAACCTGATTCATATTTTCTAAATCGATTTGTAGAAGACATGGCTTCAAAAGATGAAAAGAATAAAATTAAAATTATACAAGCAGTTCTAGACTTTCATACGAAGGATTTAATTAGTACAAGTACAATACAGATGGAATTGAAAAAAAAAACAATACCTTCAGTCCTGCAGGGGCCTCCGCCTCGGACCTCTTCCTATCGTTGGTGCCTGCTTCACTGCTTGCAAGATGAACAGATGAGCGCCGGACGGAAACGAGATGATCAGATGAACACGAAGCGTCGCGCCGTCGCCACACACGCGAAGTCACCGCGAGGGCTGTGGACTTGCGGAGACGGGAGACGAGCGCGCAGACTTGAACTGGGTGCTGCTGGTCTGGCCTCGCTAGAATACATAGGGCCTTCTACTACTGGGCTTATTTTTTGAGACCCTATAATTTTTGGAGCCCTGTACGGACGTAAGTTTGCACACCCATGGGCACGGCCCTTGCTACGTTCTAGAAGACCCCCAAAAGCCCCAGCTTGACCCACAGAAAAAAAAGCAAAAGGTTAATGAAGAAGCGCGTCGCAATCCAGCGCCGCCGTTTCATCTCATCTGATTTTTGACAACCCCGGATTAGGTTCAACCAGGCGGTCTCTGAGAACGCTTCCATGCTTTGATTAATGATTAAGTCAATACTACGTGAGTTTCAAAGAAAAAGGTCGCAGGCCCTATCACTAGTACTAGTAGCAATAGCAATTTACAGGATATTTCGCTCTCAGCCTCACTGTCTCGCAGGTCGCAAACAATAAAGTGGTCAAGTGGATGCGCAGAGTGGTTTGTTGCGAAGTCGTAGATCCCGAGCCGAGCCGAATTCTGAGCCGGCTAAGCCAGCAAAGAAGCTCAGCAGCTTGACCGCCCACGAATGGGAGCCGTACGCGTGTGCACGCGCCCAAAGCGACCAGCCACGTGACGGATTCAACCGGCAACAAGTAACGTTAATGATTCCCCGCGAATTCCGTGGAGAGGATAATACTAACACCATCGTCATTACGACCCACAGCTCCAACGAAAATAGATGTGGGGCCGTCGCCGTTGGTTGGGAGCGTTGCCCCACCAGCCATAGAGAGGGTATTGCCTACCAAGCGCACGCGGATGGGTTGGGTTCGGTAGAGGAGCAGCTCAAGTGCTGAACCTCGAAATTCCCAGCGGGCGTAGCGAAAGGAACAAGTGGAAAAGAGGAAACGACGTGTTCAAAAAAAAAAAAGAACAGAGGAAACTACGTGCGCCTGGGGCCCACCTGCAGAGAGCACGTGCTGCACATCGGATGCGAAATAGTCCGGCAGTCTGAAGTCCACGCTGCACCCTGTCGTTCGCTGGCCTGTTCGGTGGGCTACCGTTTAGTAATAAATCAGTATCAGTTTCAGCATCAGCCATTCTAGCCAGCCGAACAGAACCCGCACATGTCTTGTCGTTATCCCTCCCTGATCAGTAATCATGCGGCAAAGGCGCATGACCATCCAACGGGAATGTAGCCACTCCAGTCAGTTCGTACCACGGGGTGGGAGAGGGGAAGCGTACTCTTGAACGGGCAAAACCAACAATAAAAACATTCATATAACTAATTTCATATGGCATGGCCTTGATCATACATTCTAAATTACATGTAGAAGTTAGAGAAGTTTGACTAAGAAAACAAAGCTGTATTGACCTATAATTTATAATGAAATGAAAGAAATCCTAGTTTCTATAGAAATTCTCGTACCTCATCTTGTTTTGCACACAAAAGAATTCTCAAACTTATCTTGCATACCTATTTTCGCATATATATGCACACAAAATTTTAGACCACACATCCTCCAATACATCTATTCCTTATAAAGTGCGATTAAGCTATTATTCGTACGAGGGTCAAGGGGCCATCCATGAAATATATAGTATATAGAGTTAAAAAATAACTTCGGCACAAAAACAACGCAGTTCTCGTCCTTCGCCAAGATGGTTTAAGCCATTTAAAAGTACCAATGCATTTTCTTTTTCTTTTTTTTAATGTGGTACCTTTCGTATCAGCTTGTGTTGTGGCCTTGTGGGTCAGGTCCAAATTCGAAGCGTTGCGGTAACGCCGACAACAGTGCCCAACACCTAACGTTCCTCGTTTGAGGACGCACATGGCTTGCCAGACCACCGCAGCGAAAATATGTTATCCAGATTACTGTGGGATTCCTTGAAGATTATCCACAAACTCAGATGAGAAACTGAAAACACAAGACAGAAGTTGCTTCAAACCGGTGCCGAAGCTATTCTTTGTTTGGGCAACACCGACGCGGATGCGCCGTACTGGAAGTTCTTTCCATTATATATAAAAAGGAAGTTCTTTCAACAGGTGAGTGGACTGGCCTGATAGTGATTTCTATTTTTCTATGGTTAACCATAATTTCACGCGCGGCACAGAAACATCTCTACAATGTGGCCAATTTGGTCCAGTGACCAACTAGTGCTAAACTATTTCATTGGCATGCTACTACAATTTATAAATTAGTGCTGAACTGTATTGCACTATTGCATATACAAGTGATAATCTCAAGCTCCTTTTCTAAAAAGTGATAATCTGAAGCTGTTCTCGAACTGTGCTGAAGGTTTTAGAGTACCGCAAGTAGTTTGCCAAGAATTAAAAATGCATGCAGATAACAAATCTATATTTTCACTTGAAAGATTATATTAATTATTGCTGAAAAATGAGGCCAGCGAAATGGTATGAATTGGATGAAACAGCACATGCATACTTATCAGAATCTCTGTTAAGTGTTCTATCTGGATACTTTCCGCTTCAGAATCTTAACATCTTTCAGCTTTAGTTTGAGTTTCATCATACCGGCTTGGACTTGAACTTCATCTTTGGACGAATCTATTTTGACTACAGTAGCTTCGTTCTTGAGCTTAGGAACATAGACTGAATCTCCAACTTCCGGAACCCCACCTTCATCATCTAAGTATAAAAAAAGGAAGGAAACCTTGGAAGTTTAACGAGTTTTCAGAACGTGTGGTGATTAATAGTAATATAAAAACAAGAGAGTTCCATATAGTACTCTGTACTTTACCGTTGGTTGCCATGCCCAATGTGGTATCTATGTTCTGTGTCTTTCCGATGGCAGAAGTATTTGCCAGCACAGGATCCTTCACTCTGTCAGATTTGGCATCATTCACAGCCTTCTCTTCTTTCAGTCTTTCAGCTATGGCAGATTCCTGGAACTGCTGAAACTTCTTACGAATGATAGAACGGGCCATAACAGCATACTCTGAAATTACTCTCGCCTTTCGTTTTCTCTGAGCAGAAGTGTGGTCTACAATGTTCTTTTGTGCTAGTTCCAAGTTGTTATGAAGCTCCTTGGACTGCCTGAGACATCAATGGATAGAAGATATCATTTGACTGCCAGTTCCAAGGTCCACCTCATAAAGAAGTCACATTAGACAAGCAGTTTACACACCAAGGCATGAGAAAAGATATGGACTCAAAGGTCAGTTAGAAGGCATAGAAAGCAATGATTGAACAACAAGCATCCCTCAAAGTCTGTTATATGTGTTTTTATTTTTTTCGAGAGGGCGGCAAGAGATTTGTGACAAATTACATTAGAAGGTAAGGAAAGGAGAAAAATACAAAATAACCATACAACTTAGCACCCTGCAGACCACACAACAGATAAAACTACGACCTCCCCCACAGAACAACAAAGCCCCCAAGCCACCAGCAGCTGCACACCAAAGATGCAGCCAAGAAAAAACTACCACTGAAGGGGGCAGCACAATGTGTACCAAAAGAAGGTATAGCCGTATAGGTTGAACATAACATTAAAGGGCGTACCCAGTGCAGAGAGCTCCCGCTCTGTGCGGGGTCTGGGGAAGGGTGTCAGTGGTAAGCCTTACCCTCGCCTGTGCAATGCGAGGAGACCGCGACTCGAACCCGGGACCTTCCGGTCACAGGCGGTAAGACTCTACCGCTTGCACCAGGCCCGCCCTTCAGGTTGAACATAACATTATAAAAAGGAAAAAAGCAAGGATGTGTGACGTGGAAAGGGAATCACAGCATGCTCAAACGTAGAACTGTAGAGTACACAAATCTATGTATAGAGACATTCTCACATAAGAAGATATTGTGCCTCCTGAAGGTGTTGTTGATATTCTTGTTTGAATCTTTCCATGTCCATTATCAACTGCAAAAGATGAACTTCGAGAGCTTAGGATCATAACAAGATATTTTGGACAACAATTTAACCACGTGCAAGTTCTAAGTGCAGAGAAGTGCCCGAAAAAACATACAGCATTTATCTCTGCACCAGCTGTTCCAAGTAAACGCCTGGAGCTTTCTACTATATCCAAAGGCAAACCCAGCCTTTCAGCAATATTTATTGCATTCGAGCGACCTACATGTGTAACGAAGCATGGACACAAAAGAAGTTCAAGAATAATGAAATAAGACCAGGTGTTAGTGCAAACAACAGTCATAAAGCCATTCAGCTAGTAGGAAGGTTTGATGACATGAAGATTGATGGTCACAAATATTACAAGCATATGAGGTGTCCCATTAGTTCATTAGGGAAGAACGAAGGTAAGAATGATAGACTAAAATGACATCATCAGCATAGAGTTGTTTCCTAAGGCTTAATGTTTTCCATGGCATTGACCACCGAGAGTGTCAAAGCAAATCTGAATATTTAAATGATTCAAAAAGGGAAAGGGAAACATAACGCAACCTGGTATTCCCCACAGTATCTTGAATGTAGGCTTTAGATTCTCTTCATCAAATTCCATGCATGCATTCTCAAATGAGTTATTGCTGAAAGTACTAACAACAAGTTATGTTTCCCCCAAAAAAATCAATATTGTTCATTATTCAGTATTAGTATTTGGTAGACAACTAGTTTGTATTTACTAGTGGTGTGAGTGGGTGTGCCTTGTATGGGTTCTTATCCCATTTTTTCTTCTTAATATGGTGATGCACAGCTCTCTTGCGTGTTCGAGAAAAAATAGTTTGTATTTACTATTGTTTTTTACGAATCCTTAAAGTATAATGTTCCATAAAATCATGCAAAAATATTTATTTCATTAATTAAGCGGTAAGAAGAAGGGCGGGCTTGGTGCAAGCGGTAAAGTCTTACCGCCTGTGACCGGAAGGTCCTGGGTTCGAGTCGTGGTCTCCTCGCATTGCACAGGCGAGGGTAAGGCTTGCCACTAACACCCTTCCCTAGACCCCGCACAGAGCGGGAGCTCTCTGCACTGGGTACGCCCTTAATTAAGCGGTAAGAAACCATGAAGTGGTATCAGCATCAAGGGACACAAGTGCAATCTATATTGCCCCACAAATAATAACTTGCACAAGACTTAGTGGGTTTTACAGCAATGTTCTTTCAGTTGTGAAAACTATTTTTTTTCTCGAACACACAGGAAAGCTGTGTATCATCATATTAAAGAAGAAAAAGAAAGGGTAAAGAACCTCGATTACACCCACACCCACACACCCATAGGCTGTTCACAAATTACATACGCGCCTTTTTCTTACAAGGACAAATGACCTGGAACGACCTAGTCACTAGGGACAAGGGCCAACAAGAAGGAGATCCCTCTCACACCAGTCAACATCCAAGCAGATCTTAGCAGTAAAACATGTGATCCTGTCCAGTAACTAACAAGCAGCAATTCACTCAACCTGCATCCAAGTCTTATCATGACTGCATAACAGTATAGTAAACACGGACTAACCAAGTAACCACTAATCATTCATTTTTGCACTTGGACCAGCCAGAGTTAGTTCTGATGTTGGCAGCATTGCATCAATGGTGCCATAGATGTAAAAATTTGGTGGATGGATTATTCTGTGGTTCAAATATTTCTTTTAAGGAAACCATGAAAGAAGAAATTATTTATAGGTCAAGTACATGGCTGGTCGAATTTAGTCTTAGTTGGTGCTGGATGCATACAGAGGAAAGAGCTCATAATTTATACCTTGTATCATCATTCCATTTGGTGCATAGTGTATGGAATATACCCAAAGCTTAGAAATTAATTCGATCCACAAAAAAATTGAGATACTAAGAGATAGACTTAATTTAAGTACAAGTTCATTGTTACAAATTTATTCTACTATAATACAAGATAACTTCGAGCTTGGAATGATAGGAACCTGTATTTTAGTGTTTTAAGTTCTCCATGATGAGTTGTTGCTAGAGTCAGAAAGGAGCCAGCTTCAGCAAAAGACTCCAAAAGAGACATCCCCAGAGCGGCTCCTTCAAGTGGGTTTGTCCCAGCACCTACCTAAAAAATGTCACCAAATTTTTTTGAAGAGCTAAAGTTAAGAAGGTGATTGAATCATGAGACAGTCCTTCAGCAACAAAATTCCAGTCATGCCTTCAACTAAGGTAGCATTGAACACCAATGCATTTTGAGAATCTTAGAATACAAACAATTGTCACATCTGACAGACATAAATGTGTCACCACCAATGTTTTAAGATTTTGGGCAGGATGATCATGAGTCCTTTATCAACATGATGTTCTGGTTACGACATGAGCATAATATAAATACCAATGCATTTTGGGTATTTTAGAACACAAACAATTCCTACGTGGCTATGTGCAATAGATATTTATCATAATCCACAATTCAGAAACATGCATTCTTAAATCTTAGCTTTCTGCAGCATGACTGCATGAGTGATAATAGAGGGAATATCACAGTTTGAAAAAAGAGAATTGCACATAGAGCATGTTGAAAAACATAACAAGCAAGTAATCCATGCTTACAAAAAGGGTATATAGGAACCAAGATGCATCTAACATCTATCAAGATGGGCAGATGGTAGCTAAACTGCTTACCTCATCCAAAAGGACCAAGGACTCTGAAGTTGACTCTGCACGAATGGCCTGATAGAAGAGGAAAGTTTGAATTTCACATTGATAGGCTAAGGATTCAAGACAGGTAGTAAACTAGAAATGAGGCAGGACCCTTTTGTGTAATGGTATGTGCATCCAGTAATGCAACCATTTGAGTTAGGATTTAAAAATTAGAACTAATTAAGATAAATTCTAAAACATACACCAATCTGCTTCAGATGCCCAGAAAATGTAGAGAGTGATTGGGTCAGAGATTGCTCGTCTCCAATGTCAGCATAAACAGCATTGAACCATGGAATTTTTACTGGTTCAGAAGCTAGAATGTATAGACCTGCAGCAGAATGGACAATGTTATGCAGGATATTCCAGCTGTGAACACTTCAGACATTGGTTTGTTTGTTTGGACACTTTGTTGTGCCTCCCCTTCTCCTAAAGAAATATGTGCAATGCATGCTCTCGAAAAAAAAAGAGAGAGAACACTTAGAAATGTAGGTGGTAAGTACTTATTATCTTTGGTTTCCTTTGTAACAAAATATGCAGTTGGTGACTACATCAATCAGACAAAAATCCCAAACATTAAGGAAAATCTGCAACCGCATAATCTACAGAAGTCTGTGTAAGTCGGTAATGTTCACAACGGTAACAATGAAACAATATGCATATGGTTACTCCATTACCTATCTTAGCCATCAATGATGCCAGGCCAACCGTCTTCAAGCTGATTGTTTTACCCCCTGTATTTGGGCCAGTTATGACCAAGACAGTAGTTTCTTCAGCAATCATAAAATCTACTGGTACTGGTTGGTCTTTCTCCAGTTGGGAAACCTGAAAACGGCGCACAAATTATCCAATGAAACTAACAGCAATCATCAGTAATACCAAACAAAAACTAACCCTAAGTTTCATGGAATCCAGGTCCGACGCCAATTGATCTTCTGCAATATCTTGCCCATATATCCTCCTCCTCCGGATCTCCTACAGCATGGAAGTAAAATGACTACTGATTGACAAACAGCAAACAAAACCATTTTATACTCAAGGGTATATTCAGAAGTAAATAGATGTATCCTCGATTTCAACCAATATCCTTTTTGAAGAATTTTGTTATGAAAAAAAATTACTTGGAGCCAGATAAACTCACCGCTGTGGCACTTGCAACATCCCTTTTGGCACGATGGATATTTTCCTGATGCTGCTGAAGAAGTAGTGGATGGTATGCATTTGGCATGTACAGCTTCCATGCCTTCTTAGGAAGTTGAGCTGAGGAAATTTGTTCGACAGATCTACCTGTAGCACTAGTGACTGTTCCCTTCTCAGAGTTTGGCAAATACAGGTCAGGAAATGTTCCATCATATGCTACACTGTATTTTGCACGAGCTGCGATCTGTAAAGCAAGTGGTGAAATAATGAGTCAAAGAAACTTAGGAAAACATGGTCAGAAATGCCATCCCACAGTTTCCAAAACACAAATAATTTTATATAGTGCAAAATCCATGGTTTAGACATTTCTAGTTTTGAACAGTATTTTCAAGAATAGTAGAATTGACTGGCCCTCAAGACCCAGATTTGAGCAGAGCAGATTTCAGATTCCTTAGTAGCTTACACTATGAAGTTTGACAGTCCGTAACGCCAACTCTAGCATTTAGGTGTGATAGACAATAGCCTAACAGGCTTAGATTGCTTAATGATGGAGATTACAGGAGGATTACATATATAGAGAGGAGGAGGATGGCCCAAGGGGTCAGCCGAGTCCCCAAGAGTCAAACCGAGACCCAAGGGGCCAGCTGGGTATTAACCAGGCACAGGAAGCTAGATTACACAAGTAACTAGGTGATTACACTAAATAGCAATTAATTCTAACACCCCCATGATCGGGAGGCGTCGGTGGAGCAGACGTTCAGACCTGAACAAAAAATCCATGAAGACGGAGGAGGAAGGCCCTTGGTGAAGGCGTCGGCGAACTGCGATGTGGTGGGTACATGAAGAACACGGACAGCACCCATGGCGACCCGTTCACGGACGAAGTGGAGGTCGATTTCCACGTGCTTGGTGCGCTGATGTTGCACGGGTTGGAGGAGAGGTAAATGGCGCTAACATTGTCATGATGAGACAAGGCAAAGCGGAGTCCGGGGATGGTGAATCTCCTTGAGCAGCTGCCGCAGCCAAATGACCTCAGCGACGCCGCTGGCAACAGCCCGATATTCTGCCTCGGCGGCTGGACCGGAGACGGTGGGCTGCCGCTTGGAGGACCAGGAGATCAGGCTGTCCCCGAGGAAGACCGCATAGCCAGCCGGAGGTCGGCGGGTGTCCGGCAGCCTCGCTTAATCGGCGTCGATGTACACGAAGGCGTGTTGGGAGCGCGATGGGGATGACCGAGACCATGACCGAGGGAACCACGGAGATAGCGAAGAATCCTTTTGGCAGCGACAAGATGAACTTCACACGGAGCATGCATATGAAGGCATACTTGTTGAACGGCGTAAGCAATGTAAAACTGGTGAAAGTGAGGTATTGGAGGCGCCCACAAGGCTGCGGTAGTTGGTGGGGTCGACAACAGGGGGGCGGCATCGCAGGTATCTTTGCACAAGTGTCAACCTGGGGTGGAGCAGAGCTTGCAATCGCTCATGCCATGGCGAAGCGAGGATGTCCGAGATGTATTGGTAGCTGCGAGGATGATTGAATCTCCTGGCGCTGAACTGAAATGCCAAGGAAGTGATGCAGAGGGCCAAGGTCCTTCATGGCGAACTCCTTTTTCAATGCAGCAATGACACGGTGAAGGAGCTGCTGTGATGAAGCTGTGAGGACAATATCGTCCACATATAAGAGCAAGTAGATGAGTCTACACTGCCGTGGCTGTATATGAAGAGAGAAGTGTCGGACTTGGCTTCAGTGAACCCCGAGAGAGATCAAAAAAAAAGCAAACCGGCATTGTACCGGGCCATGGGGCTTGCTTTAAGCCGTAGAGGGATTTGTTGAGCCGACAGACATGCTCTGGCAGGGTAGAATCAGCAAACCCGGGAAGGTCGAGAGCGATGAGACGGTCTCGAAAGTGTGCGTGCAGAAGGCGTTCTTTACATCAAGTTGATGAATGGGCCAATCCTTGGAGTGTGCTAGTGTGATGACTGTCGAACGATTGGGTGGCTTGACAACCGATTTGAAAGTTTCGTCATAATCAACAAGGCGTTGAGTGAAGCCCGAAGCACCCAACGAGCCTTGTAGCGTTCCAAAGAGCCATCGACATTGAACTTGTGTTTGAAGATCCATTTCCAAGAACCACATTGGCCTTGGCGGAGACGGGGACAAGATCCCAAGTGTGGTTGGCCTGAAGTGCTGCATATTCGTCTTCCATGGCCCGGCGCCAATGAGGATCAGCAAGAGCATCACGGCAGGACCGCGGGAGTGGAGAGAGGGCCTCGGCATGCAGGGCGAGACGAGGCTGCCGGTACCCTGTTTTTCCACGGGTCGCCATACTATGGGAGTTGGCGACCGGCGGAATGAAGACAGCACCATCAGGGACCGGAGGGTCGCTCTTGACATAGCGCGGTGGAGACGGGATCATGCTGGAACGTCGAGTAGAGGCCCCTGCCGGGCGCTCGAGAGCCGGGGCAGGGACAGGAGCACGCCTGCTGTAGACGTGAATGATGGACGGCTTCAGGACGAGTGGTGCGGGGAGTGTTTGAGCAGGTGCCCCACCGGACACGGCCGGCTGTGCTGGAGAGGAGGGTGCCTGGTCAGAGGGCCCTGGAGACATGGGCGTCTGAACAGGGGACCCCCTCGGAGGCCCCGGAGGTGTCGACGGTAGAGGGGGAAAACCGGGAGGCTGGGAGGGAGCACGTGCCAGGGGAGGTGGTGGCCGGGGGCCAGCAGCTCCGGATGTACCTACAGGAAGAGGAGGCACTGGAAGAGCGTCGTCGTCAGTTAGAAAATCAAGTTCCTGCAGGGGTGGGGAGGGCCGGCTGTGGGAAAAAGGAAACGTTGTCTCATCGAAGACAATGTGGCGGGAAATGATGACCCGGTTAGTGGCGAGGTCAAGGCACCGGTAGCCCTTGTGATCCGGTGGATAGCCAAGGAATGCACAGAGAGTAGAGCGAGGGGCAAGCTTGTGGGGAGCGGTGGCAGAAAGGTTAGGATAGCAGGTGCACCCAAACGCTCGAAGATCATGATAGGAGGGGAGGCTGCCATGGAGGGCGAAGAAAGGGGTGCTCATGTTTAGAGTTTTGGTGGGGAGGCGGTTGAGAATATAGGTGGCAGTGGCAAGAGCATCGGCCCAGTAGACAGGAGGCATGGAAGCCTGGAAGAGGAGGGTGCGGGTGATGTTATTGACGGTGCGGATCATGCGCTCGGCTTTCCCGTTTTGCTGCGAGGTATAGGGACACGACATGCGAAGAGTGGTGCCGTGAGCAAGGAAAGAAAGCGGGAGGCGAGTTGTCGAATTCGCGACCGTTGTCACATTGGGTGATTTAATAAAGGCAACCGAATTGTGTGGACACATGAGCAAAGAAAAGGGAAATAGTGGGAAAAGCATCGGACTTAACACGAAGAGGAAAAGTCCACAGAAAGTGGGAGCAATCATCAAGAATGACTAAATAATATTTGAAACCAGAGACACTAATAGTAGGAGATGTCCACAGGTCACAATGAATTAAATCGAAATTCTTGGATGCTCTAGACATGGAGGTAGCAAAAGGAAGGCGAGTATGACGCCCAAGTTGACAAGCATGGCAGAGGGAGTCGTCTTCAGACTTGCTGCAGACAATGGAGGAAGTTCGAGCGAGGTTCTGAAGAGTTGCCTTGCCGGGGTGCCCAAGGCGCCGGTGCCAAGTAGTCGGAGAAGGAGTGGCGACAAGGGCGCACGACCCAGCGGTGGATGACGGCAGCTGTAGGGTGTAGAGGGGCCCTGTGCTGTTACATCTGAGGAGGGTGTTCCGGGTGCGGAGATCCTTCACAGAGACACCAAGAGGGTCAAATTCGACGGAAACGAGATTATCAGTAGTAAATTTTCGAACAGAAAGAAGATTTCTAATGATATCAGGGGCTACAAGGACATTATCGAGGCGAAAGGGTCCGGGAAGAACAGAATAGCCGGTGCCAACAACGGGAAGAGTGGCACCGTTGCCCACGATAATGGAGGAAGGAAAAGAAGAGGAGGGTGATGCGGTGACCATACCAGGGTTGGCAGTGATATGGGAGGAGGCACCTGAGTCGATCACCCAGTCGGAGGAACTTGGCGGCGGGGTGAGGGAGACGGTGCTAAAGGCGCTGGCGAGACCCTCGGGCGACCATGGCACCCAAGCGGGAGACGCCTGCGGGTAGTAGGTCCCGGAGCCTGGTGGTGGAGCGAAGTAGGCAGGGGGTGCCCCGGTCATCAGAGCCTACTGCGGAGGAGCGGGCTGGACGGCGCGTGGAGGACCACGAACCCCACCAGCGGTGGATCCTGGCCACATGTGAATGGAGCCAGTCCACGGATTGAGGAGCGATGGCCACTGCGGTGGAGGAGTGGCAGAGAGGGTGCTGCTTTGCGCAGTACCTGGAGATCCACCAGAGCCGCGCCCGCCGCGGCGGCGTCTGCCGCGGGTGTTGCTGAAGACCTGGCCAGCGGCAGTCTGTCCAGCAGCAGCCTGAGGACGAGGAGGCGCAGGTGACGTCGGGGTGGGCGCCTTGGTGGAGGCGGCGGCAGCGACGAGGGCCGAAGGAGGGGCGGAAGGCGTCCCCATGTTGAGCTCAGCCAACCGGAGATCAGCACGGACGTCGGCGAAGGGTGGGAACGACTTCTGGCGGGTGATGAGTTGGGACATGAACTGAAACCGTTCATTGAGTCCCCGCAGAACGTTGAGCACCAAAGTACGGTCCAGGACAGGCTCGCCGAGATCGGCCAGGGCATCTGCCATGCTTTTCATCTTGCGGCAGTAGTCATCGACGGAGAGGGCACCTTGACAGAGGGTGCGAAACTCGGAGTCGAGGAGCATGGCGCGAGATTCGCGGTTGTTGAGGAACTGTTGCTCAAGTCCGAGCCAGGCCTCCCGGGCAGTAGGGGCGTCGTGCTCGTGGATGACGTCCAGGAGGTCGGCGGAGATGGTGTTGAAGATCCAGGACAGGACGACACAGTCCATGCGCGACCATGCCGGATCGTAGGGGCGGGGAACGTTGCTGAGGACGTGCTCCTTCAACGCGAAGCGGCCGAGGATGAGGAGAACATAGCCACGCCACTTGGAGTAGTTGGAGGCTTGAAGATCAAGAACGATAGGAATTAAGTTCTTGATGTTCTGGACTGCAGCCGCCTGACTGTGGAGGCGAGCGACGGCCTCGGTTTCAGAGGAAGCAGAGTAGGTGTCCTCGGCGTCGGCGTCGTCGTCCGGGAACTCGGTGCGGACTCGAGTCCGGAGGGCCGCGGCTTGCTGCTCCAGGGCGTCAGCTGCCGCGCGCTCCTTGTCCAGGGCGTCGGCGGCGGCGCGGACGCGCTCCTGGGCGTCAGCGGCGGATTTAAGGATGGTGGCCGCCTCCTCGAGCTGCTGGCTGCGCTCGGAGTTGGTTGAGCGTAGGGAGGAGGCCTCGTCTTCCAGGCGCTTGGCCGCCGAGAGGGCTTCATCGCGGAGCTTTGCCGCAGCAGCCGCGGTAGAGGAGCCAGCGGCAGCCATGGGCGCGCGCAGCGGCAGCAGGGGGCGCGCGGGCGTGAGAGGAGAAGAATCGCGCAGCGGTGGCAGGACGCGCGCGCGAGGAGGGAAGGTAGCGGAAGCGGATGGATCGGGATTAGTCTGATACCATGATAGACAATAGCCTAACAGGCTTAGATTGCTTAATGATGGAGATTACAGGAGGATTACATATATAGAGAGGAGGAGGATGGCCCAAGGGGTCAGCCGAGTCCCCAAGAGTCAAACCGAGACCCAAGGGGCCAGCTGGGTATTAACCAGGCACAGGAAGCTAGATTACACAAGTAACTAGGTGATTACACTAAATAGCAATTAATTCTAACAAGGTGGACTGTGAACAAGGCAAGTAGCCTTTCCAATCACATATAAGTGACACTACTTTTAGTTATAATATATCAATAAAATATAGCAAATGTATATCTTTATGAAACTATCTTTCAATAAAGATCTACTTATATCACTTCCAAACATTAAAACTTGTAATCAAAGTTTGGAAAGATTGACTTAAGACAGCCCTAAAACATCATTTATTTCTGCCTCGAGGGAGTATATGATAGCAGATAATGGTACACAATTTTCTGCCAGACATACAGTTTTACTTAAATGACTAGATCGATCAGTCTATATGCTTCTCATCCTGCTGCCTCGGCCTGGCTATGAATTCTAGCATGGGTTTGGTAAGGATATTTCCATGCTAGGAAGTAAGAAATGCATCATTAGTCAAGAATAAGAATTATGAAAACCTTTCATTGGGTGCCTGTAAACCGATGCACAACTGTCAACTAATGGCAGCACATAAGAACGAAAATAAATCAGTGAAGTCTGTTCGTGCAAAGAGTTTGATGTTATCTCAATAATACAAAATGACCATCAGAAACAAGTATAGAACTCAGGAAATTATGACTGCAAGCATTTAAGTACTGCAATTTAATCATAGAAATTTTTATGTTCACACATATGCATAGTTCCTTGTCAATTTTTTCACTGAATACTTCAGAACATGAAGTATTAAGATCCATACAAAATAATGATTTAGAACAAACCTTATCGAGTTTAATTGCTTCCTGAAGCAAATTCTGAATGCTATCAAGATCAAGAAGAATCTGCACACGAAAGATAGAAAGTGAACATAAGAGAACAAAAAATTATAAAATCAAATAGGCCATCTTTCAAAACCTTATCAGTAAGTTTTGATAAGACATCCAGTTCAGCTTTAGCCACTAGTGCTCTTGATTCCTGCAACTCATCGTTCAACGGAATAGCAGCAATTGGTTCTATCATGCTTCCAGCATCTGACCCGCTACAGTACATATATGAAACTTTATTAAAATATATTCTTGAATTACCAAATTAAAATAAAATTGTAGACATGTTCCTTTTACACACTGGTCACAAATTGTTATAAATTTTTGGTGTTTGGGACCACATGATTCTTCTGCCAAAAAAATATCATTCATGCAGATGTTACTAATGACAAGCATTCAAGCAGACAAATGAGTGCTAAATGATATAGAAATAAACCCAGCTTTCCAAATGAATTGAGTAAAATTTAGTAAGTCATTTTGTAAAACCATTTAAAAATCCAAATCTCCAAATCTTATGCGAATCAGTCAACCATAAAGCAGGAGAATATATACAGGTCTTATATATTGCTAGAAGAAACAGAAAATGGTTTGAGGAAATTATCATTAACGAAGAATCTATAATGTTTGGCACACCTGGAGAGCAATAATCCATCAAAAAATGAAGAATTATCCATGGTTGTTCTAATGCAGCATCTTCCATTTACAATGCATACTTCCTGTAAAAAATCATAGTTTGTAATTCATTGAATGTGTTGTTTCCCTAGCAATAAGTGAGCTAAATGAAACAATACCGACAAGGAAGCTTCATCATCAGCATTGCGCATCAACTTGTCCATAAGCTGATATAACTGTAAAAGTTAAAAACACGTAACTTTTAAGAGTTAATCAACGTCAACAACATTCCATGAAAGAGTAGCTTTATTACCTTAAATAAAACAAATGAACACCTTTAGACTGTAAAATGTGCCTTGTAAATGCAACTAGGGCAAAAATATGGACACTAAGCTAGGATGCCTTGTTTAGTCCAGTAACATAGAAGACAACATCGAGCTTTTAGGTACTGATGTAGCAACATAGCTTTTACGCTACAGTTATATTGGTGAAATAGAGCTGGTAATTCAGTCAGAAAAAAATAGTCTAGAAGGATAACTTATGCTTCATGCAGCACACCCATGGAGCTGGCAAATAAGTCAGGCGTTACTGAAATGGTAAAAAAGAAAAGGGTATCCACCTACCCTACTCTCTAGCCGCTGTACTTGCTCTCGGTACCGTCTTAGCTCAGGGCTCTGGAGACGAAAGAATTTGTTCGAGTTAAGAAAACATAATCCATAGAAACACAATCGCCAAGGCCATAAAAATAGGACGTAAAAATAATAGTCAGGATAAGTTATAAAGAACCATAAGAAAAGAAACCACAAAAGACAATGGGTATGAGTCGCAGCGAACAAATATGACATACTTAGTAGACGCCTAGACCAACTAGTAACAATAGATGATTCATAAAGTCACTTCAGTTCAAACATCCATACATGCAGTTTTGATAAATTGGAATTGAAGAATGAGTAAGCATGTGTGAATGCCTCTGGATTAATCTTAGGATGCCACATCAATTGATCACCAGGAATTTCAAATATGGATGACTGCCGAATTTCATGTTTAACCCTCTATTAATTTAATAAACAGAATTGAAGTATTGCTCAGATAAGGCATTCATAAATTTGCAAATGAAATGCTAGCATAACATCACTGGAAGGAAATAGAATTAAAAATAGGGTGCAAAAACCAAACTGCAGTATCTTTAACAGAGCCATCATCATCAACGATGTCTTGTATGGATTTCACTAGTGATTTGTTAATGACAGCATCTAAAATCTGCAGTTCGGAACAAGTAGATTCAGCACAGTGCACTGTTATGAATATTTTTTGAACAAAATTAAATAATAAGTGATGAAAAGATGCTAGATAGCCTAAAAAAAGACACTTACTGTTTCTGTAAGTGTCGTTAATCGACTACGGGAGCCTTCATCCAGCTTTATGGCAGCTTTAATATTTACTTGCAAGGATTCAACAAACAGCATCAGGCTAGCGACTGCCATTGCTTCCAGGCCTTTTATCACGGCGCCCCCAGAGACACAATGTATTGCTGACTCTATCTTCAGGTCAACATACAAACAAAAGAATCAATAGTGTACTCACGCACTTCCACAACTAACATGTTTGTGCCTAAGTATGTAAAGCAAAATGTATTGCTAAGAACAGTACCATTAAAATGTCATCATTAACAATTAAGATCGAATCCACAAATAGATTCAGAAACATGTGGGTTATTTTCCATGCATTTCACACTAAATTTTAATTTTATATTGGCATATCATGGCTACAGTAGTACATTAGTTTCTTGAAAAGTAAAACCATGTAATATCATAGTCATAAACCAATACAGAATGAACTTGTGTCTGGGTTACAGAACTTAACTAGTACAAGACACAGAGAAATGGCGCATAAGGAGCAGTTTGGTAGTTAGTTCTACTGATAACTGATCTCTAAGGTTCCTAACAGGGTTAAGAAGCAATACACAATTTGATTAATGAATTCTATGATAGTATACTGCCAAACCGCAAATATTTCAAGCAGCCTGAGTCCTCACCACAACTGTATCCAACCCCGAGAAATCCATCGCCCCACCAGCGTTGTCAAGCAGCCACACGACCGCCTCCGTCTCCTGGAGAAGCCTCTGGCTCTGCTCATAGCTCACATCTTCCACCTCCCACAGTTGTTGCTGCACCCGCATACCAAACCATACGACGCCTGGCGTCAGAGACTAACCCCCTCGTCGGTACTCCGGCAGCGAGAAATGCCACCCTGGGAGATCGGAGCGCGATACCTTTGTGGCGTCGCGGGCGTGGGCAGTGCCGGCGAAGGAGGCGACGGCGTCGCACACCTTGCCCCATTCGAGGAGGCGGAGGCTGCGGGCAGACGGCGAGAGCGAGGAGGCGGCGGCGAGGGAGCGGACGCGGAGGCGGAGTAGGCGACGTGGATGGGGTCGGACGGCGGGGCCGGACGTGGGGAGGAGAGGTGAGGTGAGGACGGCGATGGAGAGGCGAAGCATCAGGAAGAGGCTGCGAACTGCGAGTGATGGGTGAAAATGGTGCGATTTGGGGATGGAAGAAGCCAAGCGGGAGCGGGAGGAGGAAGTTGCCCGTCGTTTTTGGATAGAGCTGCAGGCGGATGAACAACTGGCTTCTCCGCCTTCTAGTTCCAGGTAATCACGAATTCATAATCATGCGAATGAATCGTAGTAGAATGGGCCAAACAGAGCCGTAACCAGAATTCGGATGGGCCAAAGTGGTTTGGGCCGGCACGGTGACGCTAGTCATCCGAGACGACACGGCATGAAACTACTATCTCCACACCGGCATCGGCCGTCCTCGCAAATTGAAGCGCCGGGCGCCGGCAAGCAGTCGGATCTCCCTATTCTTGTCCCCAACCTCAAACGCCGCGGCGAATCGGCGATAGCAACCATGGCCACGCCTCCTCCGACTAAACGCCTGTGCGGCCGCTTGCTGCTGGATCTGCCCGACGACCTCATCCCTGAGATCCTCCTCCGCCTCCCGCCGCACGACCCTGGGCGCCTCGTTCGCTGCTCGGCCGTCTGCAAGCCCTGGCGCCGCTTCCTCACCGACCCCGCCTTCCTTCGCCGCTACCGCGCGTTCCACAGGGTGCCTCCCATGCTGGGCTTCCTCTTCCGCCTGGAAATAGCCGACAGTCGCTTCCTCGCGCGGTTCGTCCGCACCACCTCCTTCCGCCCTCGCACCCTCGACCACGCCGGCTGCTACGTGCGCGACTCCCGCCACGGCCGCATCCTCTTCAGCAACCTCACTGCCGAGGAGAATGACTATGACCTCTTCGTATGGAGCCCCGTCACGGGTGAGCGGTGGGGGCTGTACATGCCGTCCGTGTTCAACGAGTGGAACGTGGCGGTGCTCTGCGCTGCGGCCGCGCGCGAAGGGGGCTGCGACTGCGACCACCTCAACTGCCACGGCGGGCCCTTCCTCGTCGCATTCATGGACACCGACGAAGATGGGATGACGTACGCCCGCGTCTACTACTCGGAGACCGGAGCCTGGAGCGACGCGACCTACGCTCAACACCCCAATGACCTCGCGGACATGGACATGATGGATCCCATCGCGCTTGTGGGAAATAGGATCTACTTCCCCGCTGCACAGAGCAAGACCATCGTGGAGTACGACTTGGGTCACCGGAAACTCGCATTTGTCGACCCGCCGTCCGCGCACCAAGGTCACGGTATCCTCATGCCAGCAATGGGCGGTGGTCTGGGGTTCGCCAGCGTGCGGGGGTCACGCCTCTACCTGTGGTCGAGAGAGACCGGTTCTGACAGAACTGCGGCGGCATGGACGCAGAGCAGGGTCTTGGAACTCAACACACTGCCCAATCGCGAGACTCGTGTCCCCTTGAACCAACCAACTGCGCTTGGCTTCACGGAGATCTTGATGGAGGAAGATGTGACTGTGGTTGGCTTTGCGGAGGGCCTCGGCGTCATCTTCGTCAGGACAAGTGCTGGAGTCTTCGCGATTAACCTGGAGTCAGGCCAAGTCAAGAAGATGTCCAGCAGAAGGCCCGACGTTGTCATTCCTTACATGAGCTTCTATACTCCAGGTAATTTCTAGTAGCCCTGTACAACATTCTTGCTTAGTTGTGATTTTCAGCAATTTGTCACGAAAAAACTCTGGATGACTGGATACTCAAGAGACTCGAGGTTATGAATGCAGAATGCTATCAAATCTAATATGATCTAAGTCGAACGGTCTCTAATGGCCTGTTGGTTCTCCGCTAAAATTTAGCTACTAAAACCAATACTGATTAAAAGTGACTAAAGACTATTAAAGCAGTTCAACAAAGACTAAACCACTCCTAATGAATACCTAAATCAGGATAGGGGACCAGCAATAATGAGGGGCAGCCTTTGTCCACTGAGCACTTTAGCCCACTTTTAACTACTCATGGATGACTAATGTGACTAAACTATTTTAGTCCCTTTTTAGTCAGTTTTAGTCGGTTTGTTTAGTAATTTAGTAGCTAAAGTGACTAGCTAAACTTTAACGGGGGAATCAAACAGACCCTATGTTACATTAGTACTTGAAATTGGCTAGATACTATTGATCCAATTTTTCCTATACTCCTCTGTGGCCAATCCCAAGCACACGCCACAGAAAGAACCCAATCACATAAATTTTTGAAATATCACGACTAACTTTGTTGGAATCTGAGCTATGGCATGGTTATGAGTTTATCAGTTGTCTTTTCAGATCATGCTACGGGCAGACCACCAGTACCATGATGAGAACGCTGGGATCCATTCATTCCATGATGACGAACCTTCTGTTGGTGCATTGGCTTATGGCAGACATGATGCTTTAAGTACTTTGTTTTTAGTTGAGTATAAGCAAGCAAAGAGTTAGTGATCGTGGTCAATTAGTTGTCTCCACTCCTGTTGAATCCTTAGGATCGTTATTCCAAAAACAAAAAAAGAATCCTTAGGATCGTGGACTGAAATCTGTGTCAGGTTAACATTCTGGTTTTCAAATTTCTTTGCATATGCTTGGTAAGGGAACTTGTGGATATAGATGGACAACGGACACTATGAGCCTTTTTTCGTGCCATGCCAGCCCGTTAGGCACGGCAAATTTGCCGGGCCGTGCCAGTCCACAGCCCGGTACACATGAAGCACCTCAAAAAACTCATCTCCTAAAACATTTTCACAGAACCAATCATCATTCATAGTTTCAAATTTTAAACATTCACAGAATATCAGATTGATCAACTCCCAGTTTCATATTTCATTCATCAACTAAGAACATCAATAAAACAATAACTGAAATCAGAATCAGAGGAAAGCACTAGAGAAGGCAAAAGACTTAGATAACAGAATGAGCTGTTTGTGCAATGCTGCCTCATGAAAAACCTTTCTAAGTAAAACTTACCATTGTAAGAACCCTAGCAAGGAAAAAAGATCGCAGCCAGCTCTAAATTGTCTTAATTAAGTTACAAACCATTGTTCAAATGCAAATGATACAAGTGACAAGTCTCACTCTCAACTCACACAAAAGCACCTCAGTCTCGCTCTCTCAGTTCTCACTTCTCACTCTCTCAGTCACCAGCAGCAGCACCACCACCTTCATCTTCATCAAGATACAAATTCTTGAATGCTTTTTCAAGCTCTTTGTTGTCAGCAGCTGCATGTTATTCTCTCTTTGCTCCTAACTCCCAGTCCTTTAAGCAGGTCATCACTCAACAGTTTTAGGTAACAAGCGTCGACGCCGTTCTTTAATGATCCTGCTTGACAAGCTGAAACAAGATTCTGAAGAACAAGTAGACATAGGAACTGACATAATATCTTTGGCCATTATAGATAGGATTGGATAGGTTAGTTTATCGTCACGCCACCAAAGAAGTATGTCAAAATCATCCTCATAAGAAGTGACATTGTCACTATTTAAATAGACTGAGAGTTCAGAAGCAGCAGAGGTAGAAGATGAAGTGGTGGCAGGGGAAGGACCAAGAACACCTGCTCCTCCAAAGATTCTTCTCCAAGCCTGTTTTCTCTTACCTGATTGGTTTGATGGCTGTGTAACCCTTTGAGACCTAATTGTATCAAACTTGCTCTCATATTTGTTAAACAATTTATATAATTCAGTTTTCACATCAACATAGTATGCATTGTACTATGTACCAGTGCTTTCAGCAAGTAATTAGAGAACCCTATGGAAACTTCTCATCTTAGCTCTAGGATCAAGAATGAATGCATATGAGTATAACAGAGGTATGTCCTGCCAGTATTTAAGGAATTTTAGCTTCATTGGATACACAATATTTCTAAGATTCTGATCTCTTTCACATGCATGCAAATGAGATGCAATCTCCAAAATATAGTGTCGGTGCAGAAAGTGACCAACACGTAAATATTTGTAGTTTTACCATACGTTGTGATCGGATGTGGCCTAGCACTCAATGACACAGGGTTTATACTGGTTCAGGCAATGTGCCCTACGCCCAGTTTGAGTTGGTCGGTGACTTTATTCCTGAGCCCAGGTGCTCGAAGTTTGCAGTAGGGTTACAAACGGAAGGGAGTAAGATGGGGGTGCAAGAGGTCCGGTCGGACTCAGGACCGAAGGGCCGAGAGTGACGGGAGCTCCTGCGTGCGCTAAGTATTCGAGCGGGTGCTCTGTGTAGCTTTAGAGTGTCTAAAGCTAACAGAGGGTGAATAGATCGTTGGTTGTTCGAATCATTGGAGAGTCCTTGGCGTGTCATTGATCGATCCTCTGTGTTTGTGAGATTGATCCTCTTTGTTGGGAGAGAGCGCATCCCCTTTTATAGATGAAGGGGATGACCTTACAAGCGAGAGAGAGAGAGAGTACGTATGCTACCAAGTCTTGTTGCCCACGCCGTCGGGTACAAGATGATGGTAGACGCCCACAATACTGTTTCTGTCAGACGCATGTGGAAGGTTTTACCACATTCACCATGTATGGCAAATGACGGCGCCCACAACACTGTAGGGCAAAATGTCGGCGCCCACAACACTGCTTGGGTTCTGATATGCCTGGAAGGTTGTAGGGCACCCTTCTGACATGTCCTGCCGGTACTGTCCTACAGGTGTATAGGGTACGGTCCTTGGTTTTGCGGTTTGACTTGAGCACCCTGCCTTACTTGCTCCGTCCGTTTCCTGGGTCCTCACCGAGCGGGCGTCCCCGGTCGGTTGGTCCTAGTTGGTTCCGACTGCGCTAGTCGGAGAAGAGCTGTAAGTAGAGGTTTGATGTATTCCCGGTCGGAGACGCGGGTCAGTCGAAAGCGAGCGCTGTTCCTCCTCGGCTAGGCCTTTCGGTCGGAGAGGTAGGCTAGAGTCGGAAGCGAGCGCTATTCCTCCTCGGCCAGGCCTTCCGGTCGGAGAGGCGGGCCAGAGTCGGAAGCGAGCGTTGTTCCTCCTCGGCCAGGCCTTCCGGTCGGAGAGGCAGGCTGGAAGCGAGCACTGTTCCTTCCTTGGCTAGGCCTTCCAGTCGGAGAGGTGGGCCAAAGTAGGAAGCGAGC